GTAATAAGCTCGGGATAATTGGCAAAAAATAATAATAATATTAATTGTTGTTTTTAATATTATTATCGTCATAATTGTTTTTGTTATCGTTGTAATTGTTTATATTATTATTATTATTATGGTTATAATTATTATTTTTATTATTATTATTATTTTGTTATATCCTCTTATACTGGCGTTCTCTTGTTGATGCGGAGTTATTGAAGTTGTAGTCGGTGATTGTTGCAGTTGAAGCTTTTGGTGCTATTATTATTATTATTATTAATTGTAGTTATTAGTATTATTATTATTATTATTATAACTATTCTTAGTAGTTATTATTATTATTCTTCTTATTATTATTATTACTATTCTTATCATCGAAATTTAAAAAAAAACTCGAGTTTTCTTAATGAGTCTATAAGTTCATTTCAACGGCATGTCGTATTGAGAAACTCCCTATGAAAAAAAAAACACACACACACTCGCAAACACACACGCAAACACACACACACAGACACACACACATACATACACACATACAGATAGAAACACACACGGAAATCGGAAAAAATATTGAAGAATGATTAATAAACAAGTGGCACTCCAAAAATAACATCTCAAAAATATTTTAAAATTGAGGGAGAGAGAGAGAGAGAGAGAGAGAGAGGAAGAGAGGGAGAGGAAAAGAAAGTGAGTGATAGATAGAGAAGGAAAGAGAGAGAGAGATTGAAATATAAATCTATTTTAGATATTAACCTTTTAATGGCTTTTTAAAAGCAAATAAAATTAATCATGAGTACTTTTTATTGCCTCAATAGAGAACAATAATATCATTATCATTATTAGTTATTCTTCGTAATTTATTATTATTATTATTATTATTATTATTATTATTATTATTATTTTATTATTAATATTATTATCCCTACTACTACTACTACTACTACTACTACTACTACTACTACTACTACTACTATTTATTTAAATTAATAAACATAAAATTTGTGTTCGATTTGTTATTTCAATGAAATCAAGAGGCCACTCTCTGAATAGAAGACACGTACGTACACACAACCATCACACCCATATATATAAAAAGAGAGAGAGAGAAAGAAAGGAAGAAAGAAAGAAAGAAAGAAAGAAGAAAAGAGAGAGAAAGAGAGAGAGACTATAGATGGTGAGAGATGAAAAATAGATATCTAAGTGTGCCTGTGTGTGTGTGCGAGTGTGTGCGTGTGCGCGCGTGTGTGTGTGTGTGTGTTGTAAGAGATAAAGAGATGCGACAAGCAAATATA